TTTTTTTAACCAAACTAATTTCTGAAATTTTTTAGATTTTTTTTTTTTGAAAACTCAAACAAATAAATTGAATCAGAAATCATTATACAAATTTATTGATATTTTAATCAAAAAAAAAAAGAAAAAAAAATGTTGATATGTAATGAATTTATTCATTTTATAAATTGTTTGCGGGGCTTAACTTAATTAATTGGTAGTCACTTCTTTATGTGAGGCTTTTTTTTTTTTTTTTTTTTTTGTGGCTATGTACGTGAGTTTTATGAATAATCACTAATTTAGATTCATATGAATTTATTTTTTCTTTATATGATCAATTAATTAATTATAGGGGAATTTTTTTTAAGGTCTCTGGTATTAAGATTTTATAATATAAAGGACACTCAATATTTTCATGATGTCTAAGGTCCCTCAACATCAATCCAGGGAAAATTCGATCAAGAGAATTTCTCTGGACAAATCACAGAGAAAATTCCAAATTTCTCTGGACACATCATAGAGAAAATTCCAAATTTCTCTGGACAACAATGAGGACTAGTGCTCTGCTTCAGAGAAAATTTGGTTAGTCCAGAGAAATTCTTTGGTTTGGACTCAATTTTCCCTAGGTTGAACTAGTGCTCTGCTTCAGAGAAAATTGGGTTGGTCCAGAGAAATTCTCTGGTTTCCAAAACTTCCACATATTATAGGGATGAAACACTGGAATATCTTGCCAATTTTTGTGCGTATGTGTCTTCACATTTCTAGTTTTCCTTCAAGGCATTTGTATATCTCATGTCTAGTCGATGCATTTGGAATTACATGCTACGTAGTGTCTATTTAAGGAATTTGGAGAGAGCTTTTTCTTCATCTCTTTTATATTATCTCTTATAAAATTGCATTTTCTCCCGCAGTCTAAATAGTTGTGAGCCCGAGTTCCTTGTGTCTACACTTGAGAGACTTCTGGAGCTTCTTTCTTTGAAGGCCATTGATATATCTGGTGTTTCCTTACTGGTAATGTTTTAACCTATACCTTCTTCTCATTTAGCTAACATTTATTTTAAATTTTTAAACACAATTATGTATGTATTTTCTATAGATAACAAAGTGAAGAAGTTGAAAGGCAGTGAAAGTTTGATCTGGGTTAAATTATTTTGCTTACCTAGTAGTTACTCCTCTTGTGTACTATTTGTTGTTCTAATTATTTTTTCCATAAGAAAAAAACTATTTAATTGGTAGAAGTACTTGAACTTCTCTCCCTTGTTTGTGCAATCTTAACTTTTTTTTTTTTTTAAAAAAAAATTTACATTATTTTGTGGTGTGATAATGAGTTGTATTGCAAATAAGTGGGCTGATCTTTGATTTATGTTGAAGTTGTTGGCCTTCTTGGTTCTTTATTTTCTTTGAAACTTCATGTTTTTCTAGAGAAATTCTCTGAATTTTGTCTAGACTAAACCAGAGAGAAATTTTCTTTGATTCAAATATAAAAAAGTTGTTCAAGCTCATATCTTATTGGATTCTCAAATGCTCATAGAAATCATAAACAATGAGATTGAGCTTACATGGGATAAAAGAAATTTCTCTGGACTCTCTATCTTCTCTCTCTACAACCCCCTTCTGTTGGACTCTCTGGAACACTCCAGAGAAATTTAAAAATTTATTTGGCTTCACCAGCCTCCTCACAAAATTACCGACGACATCATTGGTTATGATATACTAAAGGTCTCCTTTTGTGATCTCGCTGCTCTTAGGGTTCGAGTTGAGCAGATTAGGTTTCGTGAACTCAAAAGTTAACAATTGAGGTTGCGATTGGGGATGATAGCTCGCAAGAGCCACAGAGGCTGGCGTCGGAGTCTGATTGTGAAGAGACGAGGAGGCAAACGACGAAGCACAAGGCAATCTGCGGCGGAACTGAGTATGGCCAGTCCGGTTCAAAACTGAAATAACTTTTTTGAACTTGGAAACAATGAAATTAGTGAGTTCTCTGCAATCCAATTAATTCGAAGAAGGTTGTTGTTGTTGTTGTTGCATTTGCTAAGATTAATGAGAAATTATATGAATCAGATGTTCCATGCTTTTCAATCCAACTCCACCGCCATTGAAGCTATATATATATATTTTTGTGTATGTATTCTAGAGAGAGAGAGAGGTGGAGAGCTTTGGTTCTAGGGTTTGAGAGAGAGAGAGAGAGAGAGAGAGAGAGAGAGAGGAAGTGCTGCTCTGAAGTAAAGGAGGAGAGACAAAATTTTCCCTTAATTAAATTATATTAAGGTTAGGGTATTATATATATATATATATATATTTCCTTTTAAATAAAAACAACATTGATATTGAGTTGGGATGCCATGTGGACGGTTGATAAATTTTTTGGTAAATTAAGGAGGCTCCTTAGATTTATTGATTTTTTTTAGAGAATGTAGGGCTGTGTTTGGAGCAGCTTTCTAAAACTAATTTCACCCTTACATTCTAATGTTATGTTTGGTTGAAATTTTCAAATTATGATTTCAAATTAATTTCAAAACACATTTTGAAAACATGTTTGGTAAACCAGACAATTTTTGAATTTTTTGTCTACTTGGTCGTTCAGTCGATTGATTGAAACAGACATTCGACTGGATTGAATCAAAGGGATAGAGTTTTTTTTTTTTTTGCAATTGGCAATTGCCACCTTTTATTTGGAGGAAAAAAAAATTTAGACCAAAATGACAAATTATTTTTTTGGATTGAATTTTAAAAAGAGTTTGGTTATGAATTTTGAGTTGTATGTTTGGTTGTGAGTTATAAGTTTTTCAATTAAGTTTTAATCAAACAACTTTTTTCATTTCATATGTCACATCAAAAATTCAAAACTCAATTTAAAATTATTTTTAGGAAAATGCTTGGTAGCTCAAAATTTTGTGGCTCAAATGGCTCAAATTTTGTCAAAACGACGTCGTTTTACACTCGTTTACACTCAAAATGACGTCGTTTTGAATGATTTGAGCCATTTGAGTTACAAAATTTTGAGCTACCTAGCATTGTTGTTATTTTTAAAATTTATAACTAAATAAATTTTCTCTTTTCAAAACATAATTCTAAAACTCTATCAAATACTATCTAGGTTTTTGGTTTATCTTCATCGTTTTTATGTAGATGGAGTGGCTGTTGTGTGCGTCTTTGGGTCCATTTTAGAGTCTGTTTTGATAATCCGAACTGTTCACTTTTTAAAATATATTGAATAGAAGATGCTTATAAAAATAAAGTTGATCGATATAGTTAACCATTTCATCGAATTGTATTTCTATCTGTAAAAATAAATAGCAAATTTGATATGAAGTACAAAAAAAAAAAAAAAACATATACGATTCGATGAAAGAGTTATTGATATCTGATCAATTTGATTTTTTTTACAAATGTGTTCTATTTGATATACCCTAGAAAGTAAATAGTTCAAACTACTAAAACGGGCTCCAAAATGGGTCCAAATTGCCCGCACAACAGTGCTGCTATGCGGGAAGCCACACCATCCCTTAGGGGCGGGCAACGATTTATCCAATCCGCAAAACTCGCCCAATCTGCATACAAATGGGCGGTTTCGCAGACACAATGCGGGCGGATGCAATTTGAAATATGGCATGCTTACGGGCTGCAGGTTTAACCCGCACCTGCAAGAAACCGCCTGCCCTCTTTTTTTGTTTATTTTATATATTTATTATTAATCTTAACCGTTGATTTCATTCATATATCCTACATAGCTATTTTTGCCAAAAACAAAACACCTTTTATTCTTTGAACTTACTCTAGTATTATATTTGCTAATAGTATTATATCAATTAAAATTGAATAAATATTGATCATATTATTATTGTTTCATAACTGAACTTGTCCCGGATGAAATGTGATTTGGAATTTTAAATTCCTTAATAAATATAGAGTTCTAGTTTATGATTTTGAAATATATACTTGTGTTAGTTTATGATTTGATTTAGAATTTTGAATGATTTGTTTGTGTTACGAATTGATTTTGTTGTATTTTTAATTTTATAAATTTTAATTCATTAATTATTAATATTGGAGCATTTTAGAAAATAGGGGGAAAAGGACCCAAAATAAATATTTACAAAATGGGAAGAAAAAAAAAGGCTCAAAAAATAAAATTTTGAAGAAAAAAATTCAATCCGCAAATCGCCCTCATATCCGCGAACCATATCCGCACAAATCGCAAACCGCATTTGCGAGCAGGTTAATTTTTTTCCAAACCGCAAAGATACGGACGGGTCCAAACCGATCCGCAAAGAGTCTAAATCCGAACCGCGAACACCCCTGCCATCCCTGTTCTTGGGGATGGGTTTACAAAATTTGTTTGAAATACCGAACAAATTACATTTAAAATTAGTGACTTTTTTTATGCTTTTTTTAAACTGACAATAAAATTTATAATTAATGATATTTTTTGTAACAATTTTTAAACTTTCGTTGAAAATTAACAATTAATAACTTTTTTTAATAGTGTTTAATTAAAAATGTTATTAATTATTATAAAACTTATTAGATAATATTATGTAAGTCTCCTAAATTTTTAATCAAATTAAAATAGTCAAATAATAAAAAATAATTAAATTTCTGAAAGGATGCCTAGGGGTGTAAATTCGACCCGGCCCGTCCCACATAGGCTCGAGTTCTCGCCAAAATTCGAGTCAGGCCGAGTCGGACCACGGGCCAAAAAATTAGACCTAAGTCTAAGTTCAAGTGGTATTTGGGTCTCGGGGCGGGTCTAAATATTTTTTTTTTATTTTTTTTCTATTTTTTCATTAAAAATGACACCGAACCTTAGGTGTTGGCCGGACGAACTAGACCTCAAGCTAAACTTTGAGTGGGCTTGAGCAAACTAAACACCAAGTCGAATTTCAAAATAACAGCCCAAATTCGAAGTCGTAAGCTTGACTCGGATCTGAACCTTATTGGTTCGGATCCACCTAGCCGCGGACAGATTTTATTTGAGACCACCCGGACCGCAGACCTATTTTTACACCTCTTCGGATGCCATGTTTGTTCGGTCGCGTCCGGCCAAATAAACAAAATTTGTTGCACTTTGATTTGTCAAACAAATCGCAAATGCTAAAAAGAAAGAAAAAAGGAAGGGGTGGTTTTCAGTTTTGCCCTCCACTCTATCTCTATCAATGGCCATGAAATCTGCAACATGCTCTTCTTACGAGAAATTTGAGATCAGGAAACGAAACCCAAACCCCAAAATCTCAGTTCTGTTAGTGATTGATATGCAAAACTACTTCTCTTCCATTGGGAAGCCCATCCTCTCAGCCATCAACACCACCATCGACCTCTGTCGACGTTCCTCCATCCCCGTACTCTTCACGCGCCACCGCCACAAGTCCCCCTCCGACTACGGCGTTCTGGGTGAGTGGTGGAACAACGACCTAATACTCGACGGGACCCCCGAGGCGGAGCTGATGCCGGAGCTGGGCCGGAAGCCTGGAGATGGGGTGGTGGAGAAGAACACATACAGTGCGTTTAGGGGCACGGGCCTGGAGGAGCGGCTGAGGGAGATGGGAGTGGAGGAGGTGATCGTGACGGGGGTGATGACCAATCTGTGCTGTGAGACGACGACGCGTGAGGCTTTTGTGAGGGGGTTTAGGGTTTTCTTCTCTACAGATGCGACGGCGACGGCATCGGCGGAGCTGCACGAGGCCACCTTGAAGAACATGGCTTATGGGTTTGCTTATTTGGTCGATTGCGAGAGGCTTCGAGATGGGTTTTCTGTGTAAAGTTAGGGATTCTATGTATGTTGTGTGTAAAGTTTGGTTCTTATGTTTTTGCCCTTTTTAGTATGTTGTGTGTTAGTTTGTCTAGTTTTTAAAGTATGGTGCAATAAAAATGGCTTCCTTCTTGACATATTTGTATTGGAATTGTCCTTTTTTTTTTCTTTTTTTTTTCTTCATGAACTTGAAGAGAGATTAAGAAAGGAAAATGAAAGGACTGATGAAATGTGATTGAAATATGATATATTTCACACACATTTTCTCTTTACCTTTCCAAACCCTTCCAAAATTCATGAACCAAAGTTGCCAAGTAGCTCATGGTTTTGTTGTACTGTCTACTTATTGTGCTGCTTGTTTCTTTTAAAATTTACTCAATTCCAATGTTATACACCGGCCTAAAACATTTATGACAAGTGACAAGTGCATGTGGCTTTGATTGGCTCCTCATCTATGTATGTGTTAGCCCATGGTGCGTGAGAATGTGTTCTAGTTTTTGGATGATTTTGTTCTAAATTGGTGTTAGTTAAAAATTATTGTGGTTTTTGTTATAGGCCTTGTGATGGTGGGGTTAATTATGATCTAAATTATTGTTGTGGTGTTAGTTATGTATCATTATGGTGTTTGGTTATGTTGTAAAATTATATTACTTACGACCTATTGTGGACTAGTGCGGTGGAAGCCTTATTCAGCTGCAAGAACATGTTCAACTACAAAAACAAGAAGTTTTGCTTCATTCTTGTCTTGTGGCAATACCTCTTTTGCATTATAGTTACTATGCTTAAGTTTGTGTTGTGTGTTCATTTCCAAAAGTAGAGGATAAAAAATTATGCTAATGGCATGTGCACATAATATTACTAATCCTTGCTAAAACTTTCTCATTTGTAGCAGATTGTGCAACCATTATTCCTTAGATCAGTTATGTGTATGTTTTTTTTCCTCATTATCATGATTTGATTATTAGTTTTAAAGTAAAATATGCTAACACTTTTTTTTGTTTTGTTTTTGTTTTTTTTTTTTTTTGCTGTAATGAACTTTTGTACAAAGTTGTGAATGAATAAAATTTCAGTTGTGTTTGTCATTTGATCGTTTCTGTTTGTGCATCTGAAATGAATGAGGCGTGGGCGAAGTGTATGTAGAACTCCTTGTTAATAAGAGTGAAATTTAAACTTGTAATAAAGACTCAATGCAGAGTAAAGTTAAGAACTCCTCTTTGCAGAGTGAAATTTAAGCTCGTAATAAAGTGATAAGCCTGTGAAATTTAAAATGTAATTGAATAATAAGAACGTCTTTGGAATTTGACTAAGCAAAGAGCGATGTGAAGACTTGGACCTGGAATTGTGACTAAGTGTGTCTACTAATTCCACATGTATGAAGTTTTGCATGGGCGGTTTTGACCGAGCCCTGTAGGCTAGGTCTGGCCGAGTGCTTCACGCTCAGTCTGGATGGGGCTTTTAGCGGTCGGTCTGGCTGAGCGTTTTTGCACTCAGTCTGGCTGAGGCTGTTAATGGTCGGACTGGCCGAGGCGGCTCATGCTCAGTCTGGCTGAGGCTTTTAGTGCTCAGTCTGGCTGAGGCTTTTAGTGTTCAGTCTGGCTGAGGCTGCTAACGGTCGGACTGGCCGAGGCGGCTCATGCTCAGTCTGGCTGAGGCTTTTAGTGCTCAGTCTGGCTGAGGCTTTTAGTGTTCAGTCTGGCTGAGGCTGCTAACGGTCGGACTGGCCGAGGCGGCTCATGCTCAGTCTGGCTGAGGCTTTTAGTGCTCAGTCTGGCTGAGGCTTTTAGTGTTCAGTCTGGCTGAGGCTGCTAACGGTCGGACTGGCCGAGGCGGCTCATGCTCAGTCTGGCTGAGGCTTTTAGTGCTCAGTCTGGCTGAGGCTTTTAGTGTTCAGTCTGGCTGAGGCTGCTAACGGTCGGACTGGCCGAGGCGGCTCATGCTCAGTCTGGCTGAGGCTTTTAGTGCTCAGTCTGGCTGAGGCTTTTAGTGTTCAGTCTGGCTGAGGCTGCTAACGGTCGGACTGGCCGAGGCGGCTCATGCTCAGTCTGGCTGAGGCTTTTAGTGCTCAGTCTGGCTGAGGCTTTTAGTGTTCAGTCTGGCTGAGGCTGCTAACGGTCGGACTGGCCGAGGCGGCTCATGCTCAGTCTGGCTGAGGCTTTTAGTGCTCAGTCTGGCTGAGGCTTTTAGTGTTCAGTCTGGCTGAGGCTGCTAACGGTCGGACTGGCCGAGGCGGCTCATGCTCAGTCTGGCTGAGGCTTTTAGTGCTCAGTCTGGCTGAGGCTTTTAGTGTTCAGTCTGGCTGAGGCTGCTAACGGTCGGACTGGCCGAGGCGGCTCATGCTCAGTCTGGCTGAGGCTTTTAGTGCTCAGTCTGGCTGAGGCTTTTAGTGTTCAGTCTGGCTGAGGCTGCTAACGGTCGGACTGGCCGAGGCGGCTCATGCTCAGTCTGGCTGAGGCTTTTAGTGCTCAGTCTGGCTGAGGCTTTTAGTGTTCAGTCTGGCTGAGGCTGCTAACGGTCGGACTGGCCGAGGCGGCTCATGCTCAGTCTGGCTGAGGCTTTTAGTGCTCAGTCTGGCTGAGGCTTTTAGTGTTCAGTCTGGCTGAGGCTGCTAACGGTCGGACTGGCCGAGGCGGCTCATGCTCAGTCTGGCTGAGGCTTTTAGTGCTCAGTCTGGCTGAGGCTTTTAGTGTTCAGTCTGGCTGAGGCTGCTAACGGTCGGACTGGCCGAGGCGGCTCATGCTCAGTCTGGCTGAGGCTTTTAGTGCTCAGTCTGGCTGAGGCTTTTAATGCTGCAAATAAGAATGTTACTAAGACAACACATAGATAGCTGAGATATATAATCAAGAAGTTACATTGCGTGGGGGGATATCAAGAATGTGTGAATTTCCCGAAAAGAAAATACAATAACTGAGCAATACAAAAATAAGAGCTTATTGAAAGTAACGCTTAAGGTGTTCGGCGTTCCATGGGTGCGGGAGGTCTCGACCTTCCATGTCCTGAAGTCGGTAAGTGCCTGGTCGTGGTCGGGCTTTCACAATGTAAGGTCCCTCCCATTTGGCTGCCAGTTTACCCTCAGTCAGATTTTTGGTGGCAAGAGTTGCTTCTCTCAAGACAAGGTCCCCGACAGCGGACTCTCTTGGTCGGACTTTCCGCTTATAGTGTGTTCTCATTTTCTGTTGGTATGAGGCTAGTCTGACAGAGGTGGTCTCTCTGAGTTCTTCGATTAGGTTCAGGTCTACCCGACGGAGCTCTTCCGTTTGTGCTGGATCCGGATGTAAAACCCTGGGAGTAGGCAGACCGACTTTTACTGGAATAACCGCCTCAGCGCCGTATCTTAAGCGGAAAGGGATTTCCCCAGTGGGAGTCCGAGCTGTAGTTCGGTAAGCCCAGAGTACATTCGGTAGTTCCTCAGCCCAAAGCCCCTTAGTAGCCTCGAGCTTTGTTTTGATGATCTTCAGGAGAGAACGGTTGGTGACCTCGACTTGGCCATTGGCCTAGAGATGACCGGGGGAAGAGAAACATGGTTCAATCTGGAGGTCGGCACAGAACTTCCTGTACTTGGCGTTGTCAAATTGTTTACCATTGTTGGAGACGATGGCTTGAGAGATGCCAAACCTGCATACGATCGACTGCCAGATAAATTTGGTTGTGTTCCGTTCGGTAATGGTGGCAAGGGGTTCTGCTTCTACCCACTTGGTGAAGTAATCAATGGCGACGATCGCGAACTTGGTCTGACCTCGGCTGGTGGGAAGTGGACCGGCCAAGTCGATCCTCCATTCGGCGAACGGATAAGGGCTGCAAAGTGTGATCAACTTTGAAGGAGGAGCATGGGGGATGTTGGCAAAACGTTGACACTTATCACATTTGACCACGAAATCAGTCGTATCTTGATTGAAAGTTGGCCAGAAATAACCAGTACGGAGTATTTTGTGGGCCAGAGACCT